ATGAGCTAGCATTAGCTTCCCAGGGCTTTGGCAAAACCAAGCTCTCTCTTCTGTCGGTCGCTCTTTTTCTCTTTCCTCATTTTAGCTTGCCACCGAAAAATGTTCAAAGGTTACTAACTATAATTATTCAATTGAATTTTTAAATCCTAATTCTTAAAGTAAAACATTAGGTAGATATTTTATAATTATTTTACTTAAAAATTATGTTTTATACATCTATACAATAAAATACCACGCAACTACTTCAAAAGAAGGAAGTTTATCTTTGTTTTATAACGTGTATATGTCTGCAATATATTATGAAGTAAAACAAAAGGGACAGGCTGGAGCGCATGTAGTAAACACAATAAAAATCAATTTTCCTCATTCATACATATTTATGTAAAAGTCCAAAGAGATGTAAGACAAAATAGAAGTACTGGTTGTCTGTGGGTGGTTAGGATTCCAGCTGATTTTTATTTTCTTTGTTAACCTTTTATAAATGCATTCTGGTAATGAACAGATATTGATGTTGTCACTGGAAAAATGTATTACATTAAAATCAGTCTTTAATGGATGGCATTGAGCATGGTGGAAATGATGGTGATAAAATAGATTGCTATCTGCTGCAAGTGTCATGAAATTCTTTCTCTCCCATTAGAGGGTAATTCTTAAATCTCATAAAATCTGAGTGAAAACCGAAAAGGGGAACTTGATTCTCATGAAGGCAGGGCCTCTACCTGTACCCTAACAGGCTAAACCTCCCTTTCCATCCAAAGTCCAGTGATCCCTTGCCAACTGCTCCTTGGGTAGGGCGGTTCTTCCAGCAGGGACTCATTACACTTAATCCATGACACTTCTTCGTGGTTTTACAGCCCTTACATCTACTACAGTTTTTCTTTTCTCCTCATTCTGATGCATGAAACTTTCCAGCAGATTTTGACTCCATGTCCAGTTGGACACCAAGCCTTACCTCCCCTTTCTTTGTAACGTCCATGCCACCGTCACCCTCAGCCATAACCAGTCAGTGGACTCTTGTCCTCTGCTGCTTAAGGAAATATAAGACCCCAAACAGGTCTTCCTCCTCTCTTTCCTCCACCTTATTTTATTCACAAGTCCACCCAATTTGTCTTTCTAAGATGTTATTTTATATATGTTACTCTTTTGTTGAAAACCTGTAACTCTCTCTGACATGAAGAAAAAATCTATAGCTCAGAATTCAAAGCCCTCCATAATCTAATCTCACCCCTTGGACAGCTTTGTCTGGCTCCAAGCACCTCCATAAAGCCTCTGTTCCATGATAACAACTGACTCACTGAGTTGGCCTTGAACTTCAGCAGTTCCAACTGATGGCTCTTACTGTTTCCTCTGCCTGGAATGATGTACCTTGTGGTTTCCACCAGACTCGCCTTTACAACATGAAGCCAAGTTTAGGTTCCCCACTGACTTGATCCCTACACCTCCTCCTTTCCTAAAATCCTGGGCTACCTACTCATTTAGTTCTGTGCCTTATGTTTCTTGACTCCTTTATGGTGTGCATGGATGTTTCTCTTGAGCAAAATAATACGTGCCATAAGAACAAGAGTTGTGTTTTCTCATTTGCATTTTAAAAGCACCTAAAACTGGTGCACCTGAGTGGCTTAGTCAGTCCGACTCTTGATTTCAGCTCAGGTCATGATCTCAGGGTCCTGAGATCGAGCCCTGCACAGGACTCTTTACTGGCCTCTGGTCTGCTTGAGATTCTCTCTTCTCTCCCTCTGGCCCTCCCTCTGCTTGTATGCATGCCCACTCCCTTGCTCAAAAATAAATAAGTAAAATCACCTAAAACTACGCCTCTTCAGTAATCCCTTAAGAGTTGGCACTCAATAAATATCTCTTGATTAATTGAAACATTAAGCAGCATTTTTCTTTTTTTTAATTTTATGTTACGTTAATCACCATACATTACATCATTAGTTTTTGATGTAGTGTTCCATGATTCATTGTTTGCGCATAACACCCAGTGCTCCATTCAGTACGTGCCCTCTTTAAAACAGCATGTTTTCTAAGCATTTGGGGAGAGAAACATGTACAAAGGTATAACACTCCACATTTGAATTTTTATATATAATAATTAAAGAATAAAACCCAACACAAATCAGTACCTGAGTTAACCTCTATGGAAACCACAAAAGTAAGTTTACCTTTTGCTCAACTTCCTACTTCTGAAAATGTCCTTTTCTCATTGAGGGTCAGTGTTTAGATGAAGCATTTAAAACGTTTGCTCAAAACACACAATTACGGCTTGCCTCCAGCAGAAATCATGCGTGCCCCTGCTTCTCTTTGTAAATAATTGAATTTGCCTCTGAAGTTCAAGAAGTTCAAGATTTCTTTTTGTGTGTGAAACTGACGGCTTCTGTTTTTTCTTTATATGCAGCGGACTCTAATCTGAGGCAGAAGAAATGCTGTGCAATTGGGATTTGGTGAGCAGGGAGGATAATAGAGATTTTCAAGACTTCCACAGAGGAGTTATTTTTAAGTACAGAGAATGCCTATCCCCACGCTCAAAGAGCCTTTAGAAAGTGTTACTGGAATTGAAAAGCCGCGGGGGAAGGTCCCATCACCTGGGAGAGCAGTGCCGGTCCGCAGGGCGTTGCTGCCACCTGCTGCATGCAGGCGGCCATGGAGGGGCTGTCGCGTGGGGCTTGTTGCGCGGGGCTTGCCGCCCGTAGGACACCAAGTGCGCTCCATTAATATTCTGTGGGCATCTGAAATGTTTTCTTCTCTTGGAGCCTGGGTGAAACCCAAAGGAAAACGAGTAAAATCTGACGACTCCGGGTCACCGAGCTTTCTAGCTCTAAAACCCACGAACCAAGCTCTAAGTCACACCCCGAGAGGGCAGGTTTGCCCAGCAACCCCTGAGTGGGTGCCTTGGGCAGCCCGACCGCAATGGAAGGCAAGGATTCCAAGTGTCTGTAGCTCTGGAAAATAAGTGATGTTTTCCCTTATTCTGAATTTAAGGGATTTTTTTTTTTTTAAAGATGTTTTAGTTAAAAGCACTAGGAGACAGGAGACCACTAACTGCTTCAAGAGGAGTTATTGTTCTTAGAGAATTCGGTAAGTTTAGATTTTTATGGATTTCATGTAGGTAAATCCTCTTAATAGAACAGGTGGAGTGAGGTGACTGAAATCCTTTCCCAGGCTTGTCATGTGTCCCAGCGGAATGGGAACACCAACCTGCTGATCAGGATCTCTTAGCCTACGTTTGCCACTATTCTCCATCACTGTGATTTACTAGAATTTCCAGGGGTAAAGGGGAAGAGACGAAGGCAGTCAGAGCAGTGAGGTCTCCTTTCAGTCTAAGTCTTCGCACTCCCCAGCCTCCCTGAAAGCATCCCTGTCAACACCACCTGACCCAACACCCCCAGGGATCTGAAACTAAGTGTGGAAGTAGGGATGGGGATGGGACTAAAGGTCTGGGGAGCCCTGAGCCAGGAAATAAGTAACTCCATCTTTTGGCCTTTGCAAGAAACATCATGAGCTTTGTAGTGAGGAATTGATATGACAGTTGTCATGGCAGGTGTTCATAGTGGTGCCGCAGGGGGTAGCCTGGTGTCGAGGGTAGAGGGTAGCCTGGACATCCAGGATAGAACTCCTGTTTCACCACATGCAAATCTCTGTTCCCCCAGCTAAATTCTGGTCTTCTAAATGGCAAAGGTGATGCCTTATGCATCATCCATATTCCAATCCCAAGTCCTCATACAGGGACAGATCAGTATCTGCATGATAGGTCAGGATATCATGATGTCATGACAATATATGTGATGACAACGTGGCCAGAATTATCTCCCGGTGACCCCGAAAGAACTACCACCTCAGGAATACAGCTCAGCCTTCTTGTTTGTCTTCAGGCTTGCTGGCTGCTGCCTCGATGGTAGTAGTGAAATTAGGGTCATGGGATGTTTCACCAATTGTTCATATGGTTGCCTGTAAACACATTTATTTATTTGGTTTTATTCTTTGTCCATCAACCCTATGCTGTAGTCCTCAGCCTAATGCTTGTTCTCTTAAGTTTGGAAGGTTATTTTATCTCAAGCTGGAAAACCACTTTGTGACATCTTACCTGGCAGGGAAGTCATCATATACTAGGAGTCGCTTCCCTAAACCCCAGTCTCAGTCCTCTGTAAATGGAAGTAATGGGGCAGGTATCACAGGCCTGGTAGCTGGCTGGAGTAGGAGGTTCTCTGCCTTTGGGATTCAGATTATTTCAGCATTACTCTGTCTGGTTTTTGGCTGGGGCATAGGCAAGTTCTTCTGGTGTCAGAAAAAAAAAAAATCCTCCGGCTGGTAGGGTGGGAGATTTCCCTGCCTGACCTCCAGCCTAGCCCAGACAGGGGGTGGAAAAGGAGCCCTCCCTTCTCAACAGCACCCCGCCCCCACCCCCACCCAGGAAATGCGGGCTTTCCTGCATTAGGGGTGACAATAAAATTCGGTTTGATAGCTGATTTACCCTCCGTTACTTTTCAGATTTTATTAAAATTAAATGTGTTAATTCTTTGTTCTTTCACCCGGGAGCCATTCTGGAAGGAAAACGTATTTTAGAAGTGAATAGAAAAACTGTTATGAAAGACACGAAGCTCACATTTGTTAAATGACTTCGTGTTCTTGAAAAGAAATGTATAAAAAGCACATTATGAATCGCTCTGCATGATTCCCTTTGTTTGGATTTTAGAAGCAGCATGACTGACACAGAGATCCTGAAGGAAGAATCTTTGGATCCTGAGAAGTCTTTTAACGAAGGTGATATACAAAATTTCAGAGAACAATTTCAACATCGCTCTGGTGAAGGTTATACTTAGCTCTGAACCACATTACTTTCCTGTCTACGTTTCATTTCCTGGGGTCTTGCCAAGTGATAAACAGACCCAGGCGTGCAGTAGGTTTGGGGTTTTTCTGCACAAATAGGGTAGCTGGAGTTTGCTTCAAGGCATCAGTTGACTTCCGTGATTATGGAGATGCTGGTGTAAGGCCTTCAGGAGACGATGGAGAAAAAATGGACCTACTGTGCTGTCTGTTCCATCATCCAGATACATTTCATCAGGGGTAAGGCTTCCAGTTGTCTTCTCTTGTCAAATCGGCAGCTTTAGGGGTGGGGGGGGCCTCTGTTCGTTTAAAATGCGAGTGACTACTGCTGACATTGATCACCGAAGGCAGATCGTTGCTAAGGTTTTCAGTTACAAATTTAAGTGGCAGCTATCGGAGAGATGTTAGAGTCTAGAAATGATTACTAACGAACACTAAAAACGAGAAGAGAATGAGTGGTTTGTGCCACTGCTCTGAGATATTTTCACCCATTTCATTCCTAAGAGGATCTCTGGAGTAACTGGGAAATTGTGCTTCTTGGAAATGAAATGCTCCCCACATGGTTGTCAGAACAACTCCGGAATACTAAAAAAATCACAAAGCCCATCAGTGCTGCGGGATCCTTGCTCAACTTTTTCTCTCTCGAGCATCCTTTTTCTTTTGTATATAACAAGCATTACACCTCCAGATATGAATGTCTTTGGGAGTTGAACACATGTTGAATTTTAATGAGGCATGTGTAGGTATGGACCTGGAAGACAGAGTAGGGGCCTTACCACCGGGGCCTTCAGGGCCTATTTAAAAATAGCGGGAGGAAAGATTAGTTCTGCATTCCATAGCCTGGGGGAATTATAGGAAGCCTGAGTGTCTGAAGAATTAACTATGCTTTACAGATAGAGCTACAAAGGTTTTAAGGAGAATTTCTAAATTAAAGGAGGCTTTGGAACCCAATGCTGTGGATAGAATCAGAGGCATATTACCAGGCGAAGGAAAGCGTACAGGGAGAGACATTAAACTGTACTAACCTCTGCCTACCCAAACTTTTGAATCCATAAAAGTGTAATAATTCCCATTTGTCAAGTACCTTAGAGAGCCTTGTTTCTTCTCCGTTGCTTGTCATCTTTTTATCTTTTTCCTTTGTGAGCTTCGGTGGTACTTGTCATAATAATATATCATTCCTGGAACAGTGTTCCATTAAAGCGAAAATTGAGGCCTCCACTATTGAAGGCATGTCAAAGGCTCAATGCTTAACATATTTTAAGTGCCTTGTACCATGTGGTCAGAGAGATGATGGGAGAGAATCTTCTTCTTTTGTGTCTCATAGTTCAAAGTGTTGATGATAGACGATGGTGACCATAGTTTTTCTTTAGTGGAAAGTCTACCTCAGGTATTTTCTCCCATCCTCCCCTTAGGAGCCCTAACTGCATGGACACGAAGGTCTTTTTGAGCTCCATAGTGAATGTCAAATTTCTTACTCTTCTCAACCAATTTGGGAGGCAGTTTGGATGTTAATGAAGGTTAGAGAAAGAGCACAGACTTTAGGCAACCAAGTACATGTTCTTTTACTGAGGTGTGACTTGCAGCTAGTCATTTAATCATGCTGTGCGTCAGTTTCCTCTTTGATAGAATGTTAACAACATCATTCTGTGGTATGTGAGGAGGATTAAATAAAATAGTCTATAAAAAAGCCTCTTGTGAACATAGATTTTTAAAAACAGCTATACACATATCAGTTATTTTTTCTGTTTCAGAAAATATTACTGGTGTGTTATATGCAGCTGTCGGTTCATAAAACCAAAAAAAAAAAGTCAGTTATAGTCATTGTAAAAATAGTTGTCATAATAAGTTTGCTGGTGGGCTTCAGTTTCTAGGTAGGCTTAATTTGATTCACAGGTAGTTATCCTTTGGACAGCCCAACAGACAAAGAGAGGAATATCTCTCTAGTGTCCTTAAGCAAATGCCTCCTCATTTGTACTGAGTCTCTGCTTCTCTATTGGGACTGTGCACAGGCTCCCTCCTACACGTAAGGCAGCCAGAGAGAAAGTTCCTCAGTTGCTCCCTCATCTCACCAAAGTGACCAAGGTTTTTAAATAAGAGTCATCCCACATGAATCATGTAAACTAATGGCTCATGTCCTTCCTTTTCAGGAGTATGGGAGAAAACATCCAATACAGAAGACATCTATGCTTTCCCCGGCTCTGATGTCAACCTAACCTGTCAAACATGGAAGAAAGGCTTCTTGGTGCAGATGCAATGGTCCAAGGTCACTGATAAATTGGATCTGATTGCCCTTTATCATCCGCAGTATGGACTGTACTGTGCTAATGGCGGTCCCTGTGAGTCACTGGTGACTTTCACAGAAACTTCCAGAAATGTGTCAACGTGGATTCTGCACTTAAAGAACGTGTCCTCCTCACTCACTGGGAAGTATGAGTGTGGCTTTACTCTGTATCCGGAGGGTGTTTGGACTAAAATCTACAACCTACTCATTCAGACAAATGGTAAGCATAACTGTAGAGGGAAAGGAGCACACCCTTTCATTCAGCTCTCAGTCATTTGACAGATACGTATTTTAAGCCAACCATGTGCTAGACATGGTGCTAAGTACACAGAGGTTGAGCAGAAAGAGGTATTGCCTGGAAAGAAAGACAGGAATTAATCAAATAATTCCACAAATAAATGTAAAAGTGCAACAGTGATAAGTGGTAAGGATAAGTGGTAATGGTCTTGAAAGAGCATGTAATAGAGGCCAGGGAAACTGACCCTGAGAAGGCAACACCTGAGCGGAGGTCTGAAGAAGGGGTAGACATTAACACCATTTAGGAGCTGGGAGGTTTGTGAGTGATCCAGGGAGAGGGAAGAGCTTGTGAGAGGGGCTTAGTCGTGTTTGAGGACATGGAACGATGCCAGCAGGCTGCGGCGCAGAGGTGAAGGGAGGAGGTGGGAGACATGGCAAGGACCAGATTGTGTCAGATCTTGTCAGCCATATTTGAAGGTTTGCTTTTTATCTAAGAGCCGTAGGAAGACATTGAAGTGTTTGCAACAAAAGGATGGCACGACATTTATAGCCCAGTTGTACTTGTGTCAGAAAAAGATCATGCCAGCTTCAGTAGAGAATGGAACAAAAATGGGCAGGAAGGAAAAGGTGGGTGCGAGCTAGGAGACAGTTCCAGTAGCCCAGAGGAGACAGAGTGGTAGTTTGGGTAGACATGGAAAGAAACGACAAATCAAATGCTTCGGGCATAACATAGGTGTGACTTGCTAATAGAATGGATATAGGACAATGGTAGTATGAATGAAGGGGAGAAAAAAATTTAAGGTGACATGGGAGGAGGTGCCATTCACTGAAGGCAGAGCGAGCAGAGCAGGTTTATGGGGGGATATATGCAAGTGGCTTTGGATATATGGCGTATTTAGTATTGGGCAGGCAAAGGTACCAAGGAGGCTGCTGGACATGTAGCATTCACACATATGGGCCTTAGAGAGCTGCATTTGGAGGCAGGAATCCTAGGCTTAAGTTCTAGCTCCTTTCTGGCCAGAAATAAATTTCACCTAGGGCCTGTCATGTACATTCTCTGAGCCCATCTGGAAAATGATGATAATAATGCCTACCCTAAATTAGTTGGTCCTACAGTAAATGATTTCCATTTATACTAATGGAAAAGAATGAAAATGAAAGCCAACAAATGGAAAATGCACTGGAAATGAAATGTCTTTAATGCAGGGGCAAAGTGGCCTGGTAATGTAAGAGGAAAAACAACAAAAATTAACTCATGAAGGCTGTGCTAAAAGAGGCTTGAGCACGGAACTGCCCAGGACAGGCAACAGGGATGGATTTATTACCTCATCTCCATTTCTTATCAAGAGATAACACCATGGTGTTGGAACAGTCCACCTGGAAACCAGGAGCTCCTCCACCACTACTTTACGATGCCCTATTCCCATTGCTGTTTTCCAGGAAAAAAGAAACACTTGAGTTCAAATTGGGGATGGCGTGGGGTGGGGTTGAAGGAACAGAAATGAGGAGACCTGTGTAGAACAATGCTTCGCTACACATACTTTGGAGTCAGGTAGCCTGGATTTGAGTGTTGGCTCTGTTGTTTACTATATATCATCTTTGTCAAGTTATTTCAAGTCTCTAAGCCTTTGTTTTCTTATATAACAAATATGGATAATTATAGTACCGACTTTACAGGTACCATTATTTTGATGATTAAATGGGATAATTTGTGTAAAGCACTTAGCATAGTTCCTGCCAGAGAGTCAGAGTTTGGAAAAGGGTAGTTTTCATTAAGAAGAGTAATAACGATAATGAGTGAACTCTATTTATCAGTTCTTATTTAAAATGGGTTCTCCTCCCTCTCTTTTTATATTTGCCTAATTTAGAACCCAATGGAACATTGAACATACATTAGTACAAGTACACATTGACCTGGGCTTTGGATAAAGATTTTGTACCTTCTGCCTAAATCTATAAACTGTACTATTGCATCTCTGAGGATCTAAAGCCCACCCCATCAAGAATTGGCAACATGGATTGATGTACCCTATAGGAAATAAGGGATATGGGATAGCTCAACGTGAGGACAGAACTGGAGAAGCGGTAGTATGTTACCCTGAAAGGAGAGTGGTGTTGCCTTTAAGTAAAGCATATTTCTTAAAATAAAGGGCAACTCAAAGAAGCCAAATTTGTAGCTACTAAAAACTGCAAATCTCTGTAGAGGCAGAAGCCATGTCTACACGCTTTGTGGTTGGAAATTTCCCAGTCTTCTTTGCTGTCGGTCAGCTGGACCAGATTGGAAAAAAAAAAAAAAATAGCCTCAATGTTAAAGAAATAGTTCTGATATTGTGTACTGAGTACAAAGTCATTACAGAGTGACCAAAAGTGTAAACCTGGTAGAGAGTGAAGGGGTAGACACTTAACTCAGATGAGTCAATTGCCAGTCAAAAGCCCTGTCACATCCCCACCAATGACACATCTTTTCCCCGGTATTCCTTTGATCTTCACTCACTTCTCTCACTTGTGCCATTTCCCTTGTACATTCCTGGAGGTCTTCGTGTTCATAAGCTGGTTGGGTAAGCAAAGCACACACGAAGTGTGAACACTTACGAAGCACATGAACAAAAGCAAATTGAGATGGTGTAGAAGAATCTAAATATGAAAATCTGAAGGACCACAGGCATTGGGACCTCTTGTCTCCTTTCTGTTGTCTTCTGAGCCATTCTCTTCCCTGTCCACAAAACAGTGTATGTCTAAATTCTGTCCTCATGTTCCTGGAAGGCCTGAGAATGGATTCTGTTCTCTTTTTACAATATTTTGTTCCTTTGTGTGAGCTAGTGCTCTGAGGCTGTGGATGAGGGTAGAAATTACAATGAACAGTTGGGCATTTGCTTTTTTTTCATTTTCACCTGACAGGGTTTCCTCCTGGGTTAGCTTTCAAGTTATCCCAAGAAAAGCAGTTTTCTGAGTTAAGCCCTTAGTTGCTGTATTTAATCCAGATTTCCTGGATTTTGTTTTCTTATATAAGTGCCTGAGACTGTATGATTTTTGATGTATTTAACATTTTTTATTATTATGTTAATCACCATACATTACATCATTAGTTTTTGATGTAGTGTTCCATGATTCATTGTTTGCGTATAACACCCAGTGCTCCATGCAGAACGTGCCCTCTTTAATACCCATCACCAGGCTAATCCACCCTCCCATCCCCCTCCCTTCTTGAACCCTCAATTTGTTTTTCAGAGTCCATCATCTCTCATGGTTCGTCTCCCCCTCCAATTTCCCCCCCTTCATTCTTCCCCTCCTGCTGTCTTCTTCTTCTTTTTTTTTTTTAACATATATTGCATTATTTGTTTCAGAGGTACAGATCTGTGATTCAACAGTCTTGCACAATTCACAGCGCTCACCATAGCACATACCCTCCCCAATGTCTATCGCCCAGCCACCCCATCCCTCCCAGCCCCCATCACTCCAGCAACCCTCAGTTTGTTTCCTGAGATTAAGAATTCCTCATATCAGTGAGATCATATGATACATGTCTTTCTCTGATTGACTTATTTCGCTCAGCATAACACCCTCCAGTTCCATCCACGTCGTTGCAGATGGCAAGATTTCATTCCTTTTGATGGCTGCATAATATTCCATTGGATATATATATACCACATCTTCTTTATCCATTCATCTGTCGATGGACAGCTTGGCTCTTTCCACAGTTTGGCTAATGTGGACATTGCTGCTATAAACATCAGGGTGCATGTGCCCCTTCGGATCCCTACATTTGTATCTTTGGGGTGAATACCCAGTAGTGCAATTGCTGGAACATATGGTAGCTCTATTTTCAACTTTTTGAGGAACCTCCGTGCTGTTTTCCAGAGTGGCTGCACCAGCTTGCATTCCCACCAACAGTGTAGGAGGGTTCCCCTTTCTCCACATCCTCGCCAACATCTGTCATTTCCTGACTTGTTAATTTTAGCCAATTTTAGTTAATTTTAGACTGGTATCAGGTGATATCTCATTGAGGTTTTGATTTGTATTTCCCTGATGCCAAGTGATGCTGAGCACTTTTTCATGTGTCTCTTGGCCATTTGGATGTCTTCTTTGCAGAAATGTCTGTTCATGTCTTCTGCCCATTTCTTGATTGGATTAGTTGTTCTTTGGGTGTTGAGCTTAAGAAGTTCTTTGTAGATTTTGGATACTAGCCCTTTATCTGATATGACATTTGCAAATATCTTCTCCCATTCTGTCAGTTGTCTTTTGGTTTTGTTGACTGTTTCTTTTGCTGTGCAAAAGCTTTTTATCTTGATGAAGTCCCAATAATTCATTTTTGCCCTTGCTTCCCTTGTCTTTGGTGATGTTTCTAGGAAGAAGTTGCTGCGGCTGAGGTCAAAGAGTTTGCTGCCTGTGTTCTCCTTTAGGATTTTGATGGAATCCTGTCTCTCTTGTAGGTCTTTCAACCATTTTGAGTCTATTTTTGTGTGTGGTGTAAGGAAATGGTCCAGTTTCATTCTTCTGCATGTGGCTGTCCAATTTTCCCAACACCATTTGTTGAAGAGACTGTCTGTTTTCCATTGGACATTCTTTCCTGTTTTGTTGAAGATTAGTTGATCATAGAGTTGAGGGTCCATTTCTGGGCTCTCTATTCTGTTCCATTGATCGATGTGTCTGTTTTTGTGCCAGTACCATACTGTCTTGATGATGACAGCTTTGTAATAGAGCTGGAAGTCTGGAATTGTGATGCCACCAGCTTTGCATTTCTTTTTCAACATTCCTCTGGCTATTCGGGTCTTTTCTGGTTCCATACAAAAATTAGGATTTTTTGTTCCTGTTATGTGAAAAAAAAGTTGATGGTATTTTGATAGGGATTTCATTAAATGTGTAGATCGCTCTAGGTAGCATAGACATTTTCACAATATTTGTTCTTCTAATCCATGAGCATGATACATTTTTCCATTTCTTTGTGTCTTCCTCAATTTCTTTCATGAGTATTCTATAGTTTTG